AATTAAATCTTAAATTCTAAATCAATATTAATGAAATCCGAAAATAATTCTAATAAAATCTTGGATCCTAAATTAATTTTAATCAATCTTTAATCAAATTTTAAATCTTAAATAAATTCTTAATAAATTCTACAGTAGATTGAACATTCAATAATTAATGATTGAACCATTGATTTTTACTCAAAATTTACAATCTTTACAACAATTAAGTTAGAAAAAATTACAAAAATTTTGAAAAAGATCCTACATACTAAATAGATGATAATCTCTAAATTCTATTATAATATTAGTAAGTCTCTTTTTTCAATGTTGATGTTGATATTTTCAAACCTTGATCTCTTAATTTAACTATTTTATTGATTTTTAACTTTGCATAATTTTTAGATGTCAATCTAACTATCTTTAATCAAATTATATTTTAATCCAAGTATTAGATTAACAAATATCTTAGAAATCCTCATTATTCCTCTAAATTCTAATTTCAAGATTATAATCCACAAAATTCTTATATGCTTCAATCTAACTATTCAATTCACCTCAATTTTTTTCACACAAGTTTACAACAACCACAACAAAAAATTTCCAAATTTTTATCTACAAATATGCTATGAAACTCACAAAATCCTAAAATTTATAAACTTATTTTTATTTCTTATAATCTAAATCCACCAAATACATCATTAAGTTTGAAAATCTTTTAAAACCTCAATTTTAATCTAAATGACATAAAATAAATTTTTAAAAATCTTTTCTTTAGTTTGCTTTTAAATCAAGTTCTTTGATTTTCCAAAGAACTTTGGAATTGCTATAAATATATACTTTTGTACCTTGAGATCTGATTTCAATCCAAGTTGACAATTAATCCTCTCCAGATATCAATTTTTGATAATTTGAAGTAATTTTTACTTAAATATATTTTATTTTTTTTCTAAATTTATCTATTTGATTTACTTATTTCATTTACTTTCATTTAAAGCATTTATGTTGTTACAAAATAAATAAAAGTTCCTTCTACAAAAAGCAATAGCAAGACTAAATTTTTTATTACCTTCTTATCATTTATCCTTATTTTTCCATCATATCTTTATGCTAGACTTTTCTATAATAACATCCATATTTTTATTTTTTTCCATAGAATTGTGTTATCTTACAACAATGTGCATCAAGCCATAATGGTTTCACGATTATCATGTTGGTATTTGTGAACTTTCAATAAAACCATCAATATTCAAAAATTCCCCTATAAATAAAAGATGGCATGATGCAATAGAGAATGAAATTACTTCCATTTATAAAAGCAACATCTATGTACTTACAACCTCATATCATAGAAATGTATTTATATTCATAAAATAGATTTTTCAAATAAAATTTAAAGTTGATGATAGTTTCATATAAAAGAAGGTTTAATTAGTTGTAAGAAGCTTTGAGCTGTATAAGAACATTGACTAAAAAGTCACATTTTTACTTATCATAAAATGAAGAAGAATCAAACTCCTATTAGTACTAGCAACATAATAAAAATAGAAAGTATATTACATGGATATGAAGAGTACTTTTTTCATAGAGAATCAAAGAAAAAAATGTCAATAATACAATTAAAAGGTTTTAAAGTAAAAGAAAAGAGTACCTTATGTATTGACTATACAAGACATTCTATAGATTATATTAAGCTCAAATGCTTGATACACCAAAATTGACTCTTTTTTTGCAGTAGTAGGATTTCTTCAAACGAGAAAGAGATTACAACTTGTATATTAAGAATCATGTTGAAAAAATTCATATCCTTACCTAATATATTAATGACTTATTATTTATTTGAAATTACTTATAATAGATTATTTAATTCAAGATACAACTCAAATAATAATTTAAAATATTTGAATTTGGTAAAGGGCATATAATCATTGATTTTAAGGCTAAATATGTTAGAGTTTTGTATAGAACCTTCATCATCTAATATAGTTATGCTATTTTAATACTTAACATCTTTGGATTGACATCATGCCAATCAGCCTAAACTCCCATGATGCTTAAATTAAAATTCTTCACAAATATAAATAAAGATCTAATAGATCCCTCCTACTATATGACAATGGTTGGAATATTGATTTACTTTGTCTACACTTGTCTTGACATATCTTATGGAATTGGAATTATAAGTAAATATATGTCTTGACTTCAAAGCTTCAAAGAGCCAAAAAAATCCTCTGCTACATTGCTAGCACAAAAGTTAATGGAATCTTATACCCAAAAAAAAAATCTTCAAATCTTTAGCTATATTGACAAAAATTAGATTAGAAATTTAGAAGGAAAAATATCTACAATAGATTTTGTATTTAGTCTTGATAATGAATCTATCATATAGTTGTCAAAAAATAAGCAATCATAGCTTTGTTCTTATTAGAGATAAAATATATAGACCTATCTACAACTATAAGAAAAGGATTGTGATTAAAAAAACTTATATGGCACCTTATCTTACAAATTTTAAAACTTCTTCTAATTTTTTGTGACAACAAAGCTAGTATGAAGATGGCCACAAATTCAAACATCAATATGAATATAAACCACATTTCTATCTATTACGACTATAATAAAGAAAAAATAGAAAGAGGAGATATCAACCTCAATTTTGACCCCCTTCAATTGAACAAATAACAAACAACTTTACAAAATCTCTTGAGAGAAGGCTTTTTGAAAAATATTACAATATGATAAATATATATAATTACAAAGATGTGGCAATAAAGAAAAAAAAATAAACAATCTATATAAAAATATCATATTCCAAAATCACTAAATTTTCTACTCTTATCTTTCTTTTTTAGTCATTTCTATATCAAATCAATACCCTAACTTCTATCAAAGTTGTAGAGTCAATCATCTAAGTTCCATTTGGCTGAATCTCTATCATTGCCATATCTATTATATTTATCACATCTTCTATCATATTTGCCCTACAATCTTTCCTCCAATACATGTTAAATCAAATACTTTCAATTGATAGTTTGATCTATCCAATCATACCATTATCTACAAACACATTGCTAATACATCATCTTTTGGATTTTAACAATATCTACACTTTAAATAATTTGGAACCAAATAAAATAAAAAAATGATTTTTTCTAGAATTCCATTAAAGAAAGAAACTACAACCTCATGACTAATCAAGCCTAAGAAATCTCCATCATTTCATATGTCATCTATTCTATCACTCAAAAAATTATCTTTCAATTGAAAAATTGTATTGATAAGTTCTTCAAAATCTTTAAATAAGTCACAATAACAATCTCTTACATTAAACAAGACAATAAGTCAAAATCTCTCTCTACAATTCTTCACTTGTTTAAAGTTTTTCCATATTGAAAGCTCTATGTGTTATGTGACATGACAACTCACAATGTTTACATCACAAAACCTACATAATAAGCAATAGAAGACACCTCAAAACCTCTCTTGATATACTAAAAGACTTACAAGCCATCTCATGTGATGAAGAGATATTAGAAAGTTATTTTTTCTAGCCCTTAAATCTTAATTATGGTAATTTACAATCTAAGAATATAATTTGGCACCTTGTAGAAGAGCTATGTACTTAAAGGACTTAGTGCTCTAAATATTACAAGATGAATCTATTTTTCTTGTTATTCCTTTTTATTCTTGTTTTTTATATTATTCAAAGTGATCAACACTTATGCTTTTGCCTTGCTTGACTCTCATTTCAATTTTTTATATGTACTTGTAAAATATTACAATATCTTATCTACATATATTTAGAATTTATGTACAAGTATCAAGTGCTTCATGACAAATGTCCATGTGCCATAATTCTTCTCATTGAACCAACCAATGTGATGGTCCGTATAAGATAATATTATTGTTAAGACAATAAATGCAACAACAAGCAACAAAATTATTTGACAACAACAAATCTTAAAGCAACAATAGTAAAACAATCAACAATTGTTGTACCAACAACAATAGAAAAGAACAATAATACCAAATTATGATGAAGCAAAAATCTTGATAGGAATTATTCTCAACAACAATATCAATAATGGGTAGGACTAAGTTTTGTGACCATTCTTCATCCATGCTCTAATATCATGTTACAAAACAACATTCATCCAATTTTGCAAATACAAATGTCCCGTAAGAGAGAAAGGCAACACTCTGTCAAGCTTTGTTTATGTGATGGACAAATCTAAGCTTGTAGACAATCCTCACATTACTATTGAACACTTTCTACAGCTAAAGATTAAGTTTTAGCTTAACAAAAATTATATGAAAACACTCAAAGGATGAAATTTTCACCTTAAGCTTGAGTTTGTGTCACAACTTGCATACCGTGAAGGATCAAACATTCTTCTAGACCTTGAGTCTGTGCATGATGTGAAAGAATGCTCACAAGCCCTGTGTTAAGGGAAGGCAGGGTCGAGCATTGAAGTTTTATTGGTTTAGGCGGAGAATTGGACCCTCATGCGTGCTCAGCGGCCGGAAAGGATGTTTTATCCGTGGTTGTGAGAATTCATTCTGCTAGGACTCTCATTGTTTTTGTAAGTCGAGATTAGGCGTGCTTAAAAATTTGAAAAGAGTTCCCAAGCCCTTCAGGCCGGATATCTGCTGGACTTTGGTTGCAAGGTAGTCGGGGTGAGACAGCAGCAAAAGTAGGGTGACAGAAAAGCAAGAGTCTTAATTTATTTGCGATAGTTTTTTCTTACAGTCATGTTGAGATTCATCGATTATTAACTATGTCTTTGCAGTCGTAGCATAATGCTATGAAATAGGTGAATCGTATTCTATTATTGTATTATTTTATTGTATTATTTTAGACAAGATGGAGTTACACCTCCAACCCAAGCGCTCACAGGCGGGGTCAAGGATGAAAGTTGACCCATACACAGTAAATGGATGAAAACATACATCCATCGTCAGTGTCAAAGGATGTCCCCAGGTAAACCGTTATTTCAATCCTTAAACCCTAATTTCAGTGCCCGAGGCTGCGACGCCGAACTCTGATAATTTTTAAAGATTTGCTGCGAAATTCGAGGCTTGACTGTGATTTAAATGCCGACACCAACGGGGCTATCCGCAAGGGGTTGTTCTCAGCCTTTGGCGTCATGTAAGCGGCGCAGGAGCTTCCCGACAATTCGTTGTAACATTCTCCTAATCTGTCCTGTGAACATTATATTGTGGCGGGCTGATCATGAGTGTCCACAGGACTTTCACACATCATCTGAGTTGTCAGATCTTCGAGGTGTTTATGTTTTGAAGTGTTTGAACGATCAGCGCCTGCTTCTTAGCTGGAGATGAACGTTTGTAGTAGGTTTGTGAAGAGTGTTGAAAGAACTAAATATTTGGAAATTGTATGTCAAGTTCACTTCGCAGCGAATATTTGAGCTTCCTCTTACGCCTTTTATTGTGTTCAATGTAGAGTCGGGGTTGAGCTGCTGAGCGCGATTGAGATGTGTGACAGAAATAACAGTCGTAAGTTTCTTCTGCGGGACAATTCATGCATGCCATCGGATCAGTAGCGTCGCGTTCTCCTTTGTTCGGGTTCTGAGAACGAAATAGCCCCGGGTATGCTGGGAATTTCTCCATCAATGGCGCTTCGCTTCGAGGTCCCTCTCATCTACCACCTTACGTTCTTGTGTTTGTTTTCATATATTTATGTGAATTGCAGAAAGTTAGAGCACCACATTTTTATTTCTTGATCGTTCTCTGACCTGTGCATCGAGCACTTGAGGTGTTGGCGCGACTAGTAATATAAAATCAATCTCTGTTTAAATTCTGGCTCTATGTGATGGCAGGTGCTTGCTCGTCACAACAGAGCCCGTGCATCGCGTCTTACCCTGCCGCATTATGAGGCTCTTACCCCACTATTTATGCCTGTCGGTACACAAGGTCTTTCTCTAGACCTCTACACTTCTGTTCAGGATTTGTAAAGCAGGAAGGTGCTGTTGCAACTGTTCGCTACAGTACGTTCTCTTCATTTTACAGGGATGTCATTTCTGTCAACCCCTTGCCAGCATGATTTTTGTGATTCTGATTTCACATACGCTGCCAGGGTTTTTAAATCCTCGAGGCAGCCCAAGTATGAAGTGTGTTATGGGGCAAATTTGTGTCATGACTTCATTCTTAAAGTTTGTTCCTGGCATAGGGGCTGATTGAGTCGCAAAGTTTTCGTGGCCGTCAATTGATGTTTCCAAGCTCTTAACTACAATAGCGCTAATTTTGTCTCCAGGCACCATAAAAGGGCTTACAAATGATCAGTTGGAGGATTTGGACTGTCAGATTATTCTTGGAAATACGTACCACCTGGCATTGCGCCCCGGAGCCGACTTGCTAGATACAATTGGAGGGCTTCACAAATTCATGAACTGGCCTCGTGCTCTTCTGACTGACTCTGGCGGCTTTCAAATGGTATTTTCTTGTAGTGTCTATTGTTTTGTGTATTTCTTGTTAGCACTCACAATTCAAACATATTCTCTTACTGTAATGACGATGACCTCTTACTTTGCACATTTGGGTGTTCTTTCGGAAGTTTACACTCACCTTTTGACAGTGATTTGCTTTCATTTCTCATGCTCGTGAAGTGATTCTTGTTTAGGTATCACTTCTTCACTTAGCAGACATAACAGAAGAAGGAGTTACTTTTCAGGTATATTCGACTCATCCTTTCTGCATCACCAGAGTACGAAATGAAAAACTGTGTATGAGATATTCTGCGTTTGGAAGTAGGTTGCTTTCAGGATTTAAGCCTACTCTGCAGAACAGATTTAGATTCTCTTCTACATTGACCTTTTCAAATTGCAGCTTTCAGTTTTATTGGTACAACCTTAGGAATATCTAGCGTATCCCTCAATCTGCTTGAGGAACGAGTATCGTAGATTGTGCGAAGTGACCTCTATCATTGGATTATGTGTTATATGTAACGCTTTATTCGCAGTCTCCAGTTGATGGGAAACCCATGTTGTTGACACCAGAAGATTCCATTCAGATACAGGTATTTTTTTCTTCTTTACAGTAATATTTACTGTACTGCGAAATTATGGCACTTTTTCAAAAGATTGATGTGCTCGACTCCTGTCATCTTTACACACACACACAAAATGAATGAGTATGTGGTCTTTAATGGTTGTAACTTGTAAGCTTTTCGTGGAGCGATAGGTGGTTAGTGGTCCCAAAAACATCCCAGGCTCTGTCATCTTGCCATAAATTTGTGATGTCTTCGTCAAAATCTTGCAATGGATGGGACCTAGTGGTGCAGTGCATTACGTTATGAATTTTAAACAGTATTGTCCAGCCAATGTATATGTGTTTTGGATACAGTGTTGTTATTCTAAACAGGCAAAAGAGTACTACCGTGCATGTCTTAAAGATTCAGATATTTGAATATTCTACCTGCAGAACAAAATAGGTGCAGACATCATTATGGCTTTGGATGATGTGGTGAAAACTACGACTACAGGCCCTCGTGTAGAGGAGGCTATGTATCGAACCCTGCGATGGATTGATCGCTGTATTGCAGGTCTATTCCGTATTATTTTACCTCTGAATTGACACGCAATTTTCTTTTCAAAACTTTTTACTATCATCTTTATTCAAGGTAGATGAATAGCTGTAGATTTACACAGTGATGGGTCATATACCGATTGCGGAATGATGCTTGGTATACAATATCATTGATTGTATGGAATCACCATATCTAGTATGTTTGTATATCCAATATTTTTATGATTCATTTAATTGTTGACCCTTACTATAGTTTAACTCGACATATAAAGCTGTATCAATGTTCTCGTAATTCTGACTAAGTTGTCGTGGTTTAATATTTTTTGTGCATTAACAGCGCACTCAAGACCACATGAACAGAACCTTTTTGGGATAGTACAGGGTGGCTTAGATCCACAGCTTAGGTGAGTCCTTTCTTTAGTAGATGGCGCCATGGACATGAAACTATGCTGTGTCGAGTAAATCTGTATCCACTCTGGAGCTGATGCCTTGTTGTGTATGCAGAGATATATGTTTGGAAGGTTTGGTGGCACGCAACTTACCTGGGTACGTGAACCACTTTTGGAAGTTGGTTGATGTGAAATAGATTACATGTCACATGCCTAATTTCCTCAGAAATTCCTTAGTAGGAGATGCCAGTTTAGGATGATTTCTTGTAAATTTCTTTCCTCTAGCTCTTTCAAATCCTTACGTTCATGCTCAGGTTGAAAGTAGTATACCCTTACTTGCACAGGTACGCAATTGGAGGGTTAGCTGGCGGGGAGGGGAAGGATGCGTTTTGGAGAGTTGTTGCACAATGTACAGCAGGACTTCCGGAAGATAAGCCTCGTTATGTAATGGTAAATCCATCAATTAACTTCCACAACCTCCTTTTTGAAAACTTGAATGGGAAGATTCGAAGACCTCGGTCCATAAAACTTGAATTTAGTCAAACTGGGGGAGTCATCAGTGAGATTGTTTTATAAGGTGAATAACGCGATTCAATCATATTCATAACTGATTCGTCAGTTTGCATAGAAAGCATGCGCTTCAAATTTCTTTCTTGCCATGAAGTTTACAATCTGCTTGGTATGCTATATTGTTTTAGTGGTTTTAGCATATATCAATATTATCTAAATTTGTGTATGGTACTAATCTACTTTAGCACAACTGAGAAAGCTTTGCTAAAATCTTCATCCTTCAAATTTATGACTGTGTGAAGGGTATAGGATTTCCTCTGGACATTGTGGTCTGTACTGCTCTTGGAGCCGACATGTATGACTGTGTGTATCCTACTCGTACAGCTCGCTTTGGCTCCGCACTTGTATCTGAGGTAGGCCAACCGCCACTTAAAATTAATCCTTTCAAATTTGGCCAGTTTGAATGGTTTTGCTTCCTCTTTCGAGCTGGTCCGGTTTCGATTAAACACTTGCATAGTTTCCTTCCTTATCAATTTCTTTCATGTGCAGTTAGTGTTGTCCTACTGTGTAATGCGAAGAGTAGTGCCTTACGTTGATTCTTTGGATACAGGGCGTTCTGAGATTGACACACGCAGCTATGGCCACGGATTATCGACCTCTTGATTCATCCTGCACCTGTATGGTATGGTTTTATTCATTCTGCTACTCTTAGCGGTCTCGTGTGGGAATGACGAGTTTTATTCTTTGACACTCTTTCGAGATGTCCATCCATCCTTATACAAACAATACTAAAGGATCTGGGTCGCAAGGCTTCCTCTTCATCACTTGGTGCCACAAGTTGCTTATTATATATCTATACATAAATAAGAGTAGGTTATAACTTCGATGATGGACTGTGCGTGACTGTTGCATCGTCGTTGCTGGCGTAGGTTTGTAAGCGGTACACAAGAGCGTATTTGCACACACTTGTGACAAAAGAAGCAATGGGTTCTCAACTGGTTTCTTACCACAATATTTCCCACATGATGCAGGTTTGTGTAAAGTTATGAACAAATGCTGATATAAATTGTTTTACCGATTTATACTTCCTTTGTCCAAATGAATGCTAATTTAGTATATATGCTCATCAGCCGTTCTATTTTGATGAACCTGGCATTTCTCTGTGGTTGAATGGGAGAATTTTACTTAATCATATTAGCCGTCTTTGTATGCAATATCATGTCATATCGTAGTCCTCTTTCAAAACCCTGTAAAGTAGATGATTTGTTCACACCGATAAGTTTTCTCCCTCTAGGGTTTCTGCACCTCAGGCTATATTGCTTATCTGTTAATCCCAAACCCGAACTTGAATTGGATGTTGCAGTTGAGTCGTAATCTACACAGTTCAATCTTAGAAGGACGCTTTCCAGAGTGAGTTTTCGAAGAATCTTAACCTCATAAAGTTAATTTTTTCATAGTTTTTAATACTACTTTTTGATTGTTGAGAATGGATCAATCCAGCAAGTCCATGATAGTTCAATCTCTTTTGTGTTCTTTTTGTAATGCATTGTTGTTTGATGATTGCTGTAACGCTACATAATTGAGTGCTCCTTCCAATGAGATCCACTTCGGTGTTAGGAATTTTACCCTACTCTCTTAAGGAGAATTATTGCAGGTTGCATCAGTGACGAGCAACTTCTGGATTCCTGACGGATGTTATGTGTCTCCTCATTAGTATTCATGGCGGGAGCTAGATTGTTGCCGTTGATTGCAGATATATACTTTGAAGTACCAGTAGAATTATTCCTTCCTAAATTGAAGGTTCTAATCTGTCTCTTACGTGCATTCAGTGCGCTGTTGTTTTATCCGACCTTTATTTTGTTTGATTTTTACTGTTTAATGATAATTTTGTGTGGGATGGTATTACAGATTTGTTCAATCATTCTTGCAAAAACAGGTCAGGAAATCTTTAGTATTCTTACTTATAGCAGTCTGCATTTCATTGGAGAACGAAACTAATCCAGTATTATAACACATAGCAAACTTCAGTTCTGCATTGTAGTTTGAAGAATCCGTTGACTTGATTAGAATGTATTGTGTGGGCATGTATGGAAGTCATATACCCAACCTTATGTTGTGGCAAGAGTTTGCAAGCGAGTATTTTACCAGCGGTTGTTTTTACCAGTATTTCATTCTTTGTTTGTGACTACATGTTGGCTCGATTTTAACGTCAAATATTCTAAACATGTACAGAGGTCACCTTTAAGATTTTCACTTATTTAGCTTGTGCTTCTCTGGAACTCTCATAGTGATCAACAATTGGTTCTGACAGTTGTCAATCGTTGTGCAGTTTCCAAAAGGTGATGTTCCAGACTGGGTATGTAATGCTATGGATGTGGCCGGCATCGATATTTCTATGTGTCGTATACCCCAATCTGCATAGACAGGAAACTTGCAAATTTGGTATACAATCTGAAGGATGAAGCTGGACCTCTTTCAATAATCAGAGGTGCAAAGCGCATGCAGGTCTCGTTATCATTTCTTCATCATGCTAAAGCCAACATTGACCTGCATTTGAGAACACAGATTTGGATAAGGGTGTATGCAAAACTTAGTCCCTTTGCTTGGCCGAAAGGCGCATGTTTGTTGTGAGCACGGGCAATGCAAGGGCAGTTAGTACAAAACTTTAAAGCGGTGAGCGACATATTCATTACTAAGTAATTCGATTTTTCAGGTAGAACTGGATGTGCACCATGATCAGGACTTTGCTTCCTGCTTTGTTCTCAATTTTTTGGTGGTAGAAAACCCATTCAGGTAATTCAGGATTCATGGCAGGTCTTGCTCCTTGCTCCATCATTTCTGGTAAGACACATTTATTTGTCGATAGTTTGTGTATCCCAAAACTTTCTGTGATAAGTTCCAAGTATTTCATATTGTCCAAGTGAAATTCTATGGATTGTTGGCATCGGAATGTGTCTTGTATGTGCTAACGGTTTTCCAACCAAGATCTGTTGTTATGCTGGAAGCACGTTTATGGAAACAGCAGCATTGTTTTTTCAAATGTTTGTAATTGGCCTTTTTGTCCGTGCTTATTTTGCATGTATAAGATTGTCCATGCAAGTGAAGGAAATTTGATAACGATGATGTGATTTGCAATGCAATCAATTCATATCCATTGTTGCAACTTTTGCATCAACAGACTAAAAATTCTATCTAAGATTCATTTTAATGTACATATCAATTCATTTCTCACTTTTTGAATTGATAATTGATCTGTAATTATTAGCTATAAAACATTTATGGTCACATTCATAAGGTTAATGTTCTCAAGTTCTTATTACAAATATAATGCAAATATATGATTTTTGTGTATATTATGTTAAATTATTAATTAATGATTGGATTGTTCAAATAGAGTTAGAACATCAACTTTTGATTATAATATAAATGTTTTTATTCAAATCATTTCTTAATTCTGATATTGATACTTCGGTCACATTTGCAAAACCTTCAAGACAACATAAGATAGATAAAGATACTTAAGAATGATATGTTCTTTTTTAAATCAATGGTGAAATATTACATGTTTAATGTCATCATTACAGAAGAGACTTTTGATGTTTGGTGATATTATTTTGAAGTAGAAACAATCCTTAATGATATTCAAAACATTTTATTTGAAAGAACTTTTAAAGATCTTAATAATAATCAAATATAAAGGTGATCTTCTTGCTTTCATATAAGACACCATTGGTGGATGAGAAGACCTATTACCTACCTTAAAGATCAAAGTATATGGCAAATATAATTTTTTGTATCTTAAACTATTTGAATATGTAATTATTGTTTTTTGTAAAACTGCCACAGTCATATATAATTATCAAAATAAGAAATATTAGATAGAAAATAAATATGAATAGATTTGAGAATATCTTAAAAAAAAACTTCTTAAAAACTTCATAGATGCAAATTTGTTCATGCTTATTTTGCATGTAGAAGATTTTCCATGTGAGTGAAAGAAATTTGATAAAAATGATGTGATTTGCAATGCAATCAATTCATATCCATTGTTGCAACTTTTGCATCAACACACTAAAAATTCTATCTAAGATTCATTTTAACTTCACAAGTGTGTATAGTCTTAATGATTTGTCTAATAACTCAACAAAAAATAGTTTTTAATTTGAATGAGTTGATTTTTGATTTTATATCTCTTTAGGACTACAAACACAAAGAAAATATAAATATAAATAAAATATAAAATATACTCATCAATGAACATGTTTTGCTTTAAAACAAAGAATTCCTTAACTCTTTATTTCAATTTTGATGGATATTGTCAATAAAAAGCATCAATCATCTTTGATGCATTTGCAAGATTTTTAATTGGCACCCATGTGCATTCACTAATATTATATCTATGTTAGTGTATAAGATATTCTAATCTATTTTTGTGCTATCTTAAGTCTAATATTCTTTCAACCTTGAACTCTTGATTATTATCCACTTTTATTAGAGCAGGTGACATTTGTATTCTTTTCAATATATCTTCTATCCTATATGGCTGAAATAAAGATACATACAATATGGAATGGATCTTCATATACTCCAATAGGTATAATCAATAAGCAATTAAATTGATTTATTTACAAATAAGAAATGATCTAAGTTTATGGCAATTTAACTTATTATAAGAATGACCAATCTCGATATTACAACAAAATAACTTAGGTTGTTCATTACAATAGGCATATAGGTTGATTTTTTATTATTCTTGAAATTACTTTAATTGTATCTTTATTGTTTTATATAGTTTTAATATTTACTTTTAAAAAGTCAAAAGTATCAATTTATAGATGATAATCATAATTTGTATAAAAAAATGTTAATTTAATAGAAGAATATATTATATTATATTAGATAAACTCTATCAATGAAAAAAAATTATTCAATCATTTTAATAGTAATTGATAATACATCTTAAATACTATTCTAAAACTTAATCCATTTGTTTTATTTATCCATCAATTTAAAGATCCAATGTCAAATATAGTTTTATATCTACCTTTAATATCTTAAAAGTGATACAAATTGAATCCCTCTATTGAATTTAATATCCTTTGATAATCTATAATATCAAAAAATATTATTAATGAAAATCTTAATTATTTCTATACTTGTGATAGTTTTTTTTTACATTGTACAAAATATGCTATCTTAATAAAAAAAAATTTACTAGGACAAATATAGAATTATAAGAACTTAAAATTAGAAGATTCATTATAAAATCTATAAAAATAAAAGATTATGGTTGTTTTGATATAATGGCTAAAGAAGTCTATAAGGTTATTAATAAGGAGTTTTTAATCTTAGACAAACATCACATAATTTTATAAATTTTTTAACTAAATTTTATATTTGAGGCCACAAAAAATATTTGGATATTAATTCTTAGGTCTTACTATATTTAAAATATCTTAGAGTGAGAAGGTCATGACAAGCTTAAAGAGCATGTAATTGTATTTCATCTTCTGAAACATGTAAGCATTCTTCAAAATAGAGTAGATTGTTCTTGAATTCAAACATAGGAGTATCATGAGATTTAATTAGATTATTTTTAATATCATAAACAAGAAGATTTGAAGACATATTTCATTAAACTTGCTTAAGAAAGGTTGAATCAATATTCAACATTGATTTTACTATTCAAAGATGAAATTACTCTAGCTTCAAAAGAATTATTTGTTTTTGATAAAATAAAATAGAATCTCTTTTTTTAATAAAAGATAAGATTACTTAAAAATAAAGTCTGACAAATCTTATTTTTTATATATTTATTTTATTGATAAGTGATTTTAAATTCAAATCTTGATAAAGACATGTTCCAATAAACTTCATGATAATTTAATACATATGCTGATATTCTTAAATAAAAAGCTATTAGATGAAGCTTGTCATTTGCTTCCATTTATTATAAAAATTCATTCAAAGCAAAGTTTGACATTTTTTTTTTTATTAAAAAGGCCTTAAAAAAGTTAATACAATATAAGATTGGTGCAAAAATAAAAATTTCCTTTAAAGCTTCAAATGATGCATTTGCTTTTTTATTCCACTCAAGTTTGTCTTTATAAGTCAAATATGTAAGTAAAGCTACAACTTTTAAAATATCCTTGATAAATATTCAATATTAATTAAAAAATATAAAAATATTAGACATAATAAATTGATTCTTTTTTGGATATTTTATAATATCATTATTTGAAATAATTTATTTTAAAAATTCAATTTAATTTGTGTAAATACATAATTTTCCATCTTAGTATATAGTCTTGCATCTCTAAGTTTTTGTAACATATAAAAAATATAAAGTTCATCTTTTTTTACATTTTTAGAATAAATTAAAATCTAGTTTAGATAAAAAATTAAAAAAATATTTAAGATTTTTTTTTCAAATTTATTTATAAAATATTAAAAAGAAATTGGTAAATTTTTTAATCTTAAAGATATGACATAATATTCAAAATATCCATATTTAGTTCAAAATATAATTTTTTATTTATTTTCTTTTTTAATGCATATTAAAATATTTATTCTTTATAAATTTATTTTTCTATAGATCTTTGTTTGATTTAATTAATTAAGAAGTTTTTATATCAAAGATCGATGGTACTTATTTTATATGATTACTTGGTTGAATCCTCAATAATCTATACACATCCGCAATGATCTATCACATTTATTTTTACAAATAAGATAGAGGCTTCCATTAGAAATTTGAAATGGCATATAAGTTTGAAATGATGTATAAAGTTCTTAATTAAGTTATTTTCAATGTATTCCTTAAGTGAAATCAATGTATTCTTTAATAACATATATATTAGTTCAAATAGTGGTTGAGCTTCTTTTCGAAGATTAATTGAGCAATTATAAGAACAATATATTTTTTTAAATAAAAAATTATATTATTCTTTTAAAAAATATCTTAATAATTTTGATATTTGCTTAAAATGCCACTTAAAGTCTTTTGACTATTAAAAATGGATGTGGCATTAATACTAAAAGATGAAAGCTCTTGTACTTATTAATAAAGATTTGGTTGTATTAGACTTATGACCTTTTATTTAAATAAAAAAAAAATGAATTATACTATGAATTAAAAAAATCAAGGTTACAAAAAATCCAATTTACTTGGAGATTGTATTTTTTTTATTATAATACATCTAAAATAATTAGATTAAAAAAATATCTAATAACATTAAATATTAATAAATTATTGTAACCATTAATTATTACATCTAAAGAAATAGTTTTAAAGATAATATCTTTAGAAGATAGTAAATAACCATCTATAAATTTTACATGCATAGACTTAATTCTATTGACTAAAAATATTTTCTAATTTTTTTATAAAGTCTTTGATTATAAAAAAACATTGAGGCTCTTAAATCTAATAAAACAAAGACTTTGTAATTTTTTTATCCTAAAAAAATATCTATTATAAAGCAAGGTGAAGGATTTAAAGAAATAATATAATATTTAGTAGGTGTTGTATAAGATTCTAGCTGCTTTATCTCTATTGTAGTTGGAGAATCTCATTTTTTGATATATTATCTTCTTTGGCAACCATGCTCTTTATTTTGTGATTGCCTTATTTTTTAGGAAAATATTAATTAATATTTTTAGATTCTCTACAATATAAGTATAAATCTTTTTGACAAAGTTGAGTCTTTTCCAGCTTACTAAGAGATTTAAAATATTCAATATCAATTTGTATAGATTTTAGTCTTAATTAAGAAGTTTTTTAAAATATAAGAGTTATTATTGTGACTTGATTTATTTCTCTCCAAGTAAATTTTTGTTTATTGCATCTTTCAAAAAATAATTGTTACATGTAATGGCTTGACAAATAAATCATGTTAATGAATATGCTTTTGGTAGTGTCAATAA